ATCCCCCCTTATGTATTATACATGGAGATCATATCCCCCCCTTATGTATTATACATGGAGATCATATCCCCCTTATGTATTATACATAAAGATCATATCCCCCTTATGTATTATACATGGAGATCATATCCCCCCTTATGTATTAAACATGGTGATCATATCCCCCTTATGCATTATACATGGAGATCATATCCCCCCTTATGTATTATACATGGAGATCATATCCCCCCTTATGTATTATACATGGAGATCATATCCCCCCTTATGTATTTATACATAGTGATCATATCCCCCCTATATGTATTATACATGGAGATCATACCCCCCCCTTATGTATTATACATAGGAGATCATAATCCCCCCTTATGTATTATACATGGAGATCATATCCCCCCTTATTATGTATTATACATGGAGATCATATCCCCCCTTATGTATTTATACATGGTGATCATATCCCCCCTTTATGTATTATACATGGTGATCATATCCCCCCTTATGCATTATACATGGAGATCATATCCCCCTTATGTATTATACATGGCTCTCTGATCATATCCCCCCCTATGCATTATACATGGAGATCATATCCCCCCTTATGTATTATACATGGAGATCATATCCCCCTTATGTATTAAACATGGAGATCATATCCCCCCTTATGTATTATACAATGGAGATCATATCCTCCGTTATTTAACATTATACATGGAGATTATATCCCCCCTTATGTATTATACATGGAGATCATAATCCCCCCCTTCTGTATTATACATGGTGATCATAATCCCCCCCCCTTATGTATTATACATGGAGATCATATTCCCCCTTATGTATTATACATGGAGATCATATCCCCCCTTATGTATTATAACATGGAGCTCATATATCCCCCTTTATGTATTATACATGGAGATCATATCCCCCTTATGTATTATACATGGAGCTCATATCCCCCCTTATTTATTATACATGGAGATCATATCCCCCCTTATGTATTATACATGGAGCTCATATCCCCCCTTATGTATTATACATGGTGATCATATCCCCCCTTATGTATTATACATGGAGATCATATCCCCCCTTATGTATTATAACATGGAGCTCATATCCCCCCTTATGTATTATACATGGAGCTCATATCCCCCCTTATGTATTATACATGGTGATCATATCCCCCCTTATGTATTATACACAAGATCATAACCCCCTTATGGAGATCCATATCCCCCCTTATGTATTATACATGGAGATCATATCCCCCCTCATGTATTATACATGGAGATCATATCCCCCCCCGTTATGTATATACATGGAGATCATATCCCCCTTATGTATTATACATGGAGTTCATATCCCCCCTTATGTATTATACATGGAGTTCATATCCCCCCTTATGTATTATACATGGAGATCATATCCCCCTTATGTATTATACATGGAGATCATAATCCCCCCTTATGTATTATACATGGAGATCATATCCCCCCCTTATGTATTATACATGGAGATCATATCCCCCCTTATGTATTATACATGGAGATCATATCCCCCCTATGTATTATACATGGAGATCATATCCCCCCTTTATGTATTATACATGGAGATCATATCCCCCCTTATGTATTATACATGGAGATCATATCCCCCCTTATGTATTATACATGGAGCTCATATCCCCCTTATGTATTATACATGGAGCTCATATCCCCCCCTTATGTATTATACATGGAGCTCATATCCCCCCCTTATGTATTATACATGGAGATCATATCCCCCCCCCTTATGTATTATACATGGTGATCATATAACAGCGATCCCCCCTTATGTATTATACATGGAGATCATATCCCCCTTATGTATTATACATGGAGATCATATCCCCCCTTATGTATTATACATGGAGATCATATCCCCCCTTATGTATTATACATGGAGATCATATCCCCCCTTATGTATTATACATGGAGATCATATCCCCCCTTATGTATTATACATGGAGATCATATCCCTCCTTATGTATTATACATGGAGATCATATCCCCCCCTTATGTATTATACATGGTGATCATATCCCCCTTATGTACTTATACATGGAGATCATATCCCCCCTTATGTATTATACATGGAGATCATATCCCCCCTTATTAGTATTATACATGGAGATCATATCCCCCCCTTATGTATTATACTATGGAGATCATATCCCTCCTTATGTATTATACATGGAGATCATATCCCCCCCTTATGTATTATACATGGTGATCATATCCCCCCTTATGTATTATACATGGAGATCATATCCCCCCTTATGTATTATACATGGAGATCATATCCCCCCTTATGTATTATACATGGAGAATCATATCCCCCCTTATGTATTATACATGGAGATCATATCCCCCTTATGTATTATACATGGTGATCATATCCCTCCTTATGTATTATACATGGAGATCATATCCCCCTTATGTATTATACATGGAGATCATATCCCCCCTTATGTATTATACATGGAGATCATATCCCCCCCATGTATTATACATGGAGATCATATCCCCCCTTATGTATTATACATGGAGATCATATATCCCCCTTATGTATTATACATGGAGATCATATCCCCCCTTATGTATTATACATGGAGATCATATCCCCCCTTATGTATTATACATGGAGATCATATCCCCCCGTATGTATTATACATGGAGATCATATCCCCCCTTATGTATTATACATGGAGATCATATCCCCCCTATGTATTATTACATACAGATCATATCCCCCTTATGTATTATACATGGAGATCATATCCCCCTTTATGTATTATACATGGAGATCATATCCCCCCTTATGTATTATACATGGAGATCATATCCCCCCTTATGTATTATACATGGAGATCATATCACCCCCTTATGTATTATAACAAATATTGATCATATCCCCCCCTTATGTATTATACATGGAGATCATATCCCCCCTTATGTATTATACATGGTGATCATATCCCCCTTTATGTATTAAACATGGTGATCATATCCCCCCTTATGCATTAATACATGGAGATCATATCCCCCCTTATGTATTATACATGGAGATATATCCCCCCTTATGTATTATACATGGAGATCATATCCCCCCTTATGTATTATACATGGAGATCATATCCCCCTTATGTATTATAACATGGAGATCATATCCCCCCTTATGTATTATACATGGAGATCATATCCCCCTTATGTATTATACATGGAGATTATATCCCCCATTATGTATTATACATGGAGATCATATCCTCCGTTATGTATTATACATGGAGATTATATCCCCCTTATGTATTATACATGGAGCTCATATCCCCCCTTCTGTATTATACATGGTGATCATATCCCCCCCTTATGTATTATACATGGAGATCATATCCCCCTTATGTATTATACATGGTGATCATATCCCCCTTATGTATTATACATGGAGATCATATCCCCCCTTATGTATTATACATGGAGATCATATCCCCCTTATGTATTATACATGGAGATCATATCCCCCCTTATGTATTATACATGGAGATCACATCCCCCTTATGTATTATACATGGAGATCATATCCCCCCTTATGTATTATACATGGAGATCACATCCCCCTTATGTATTATACATGGAGATCATATCCCCCCTTATGTATTATACATGGAGATCATATCCCCCCCTTATGTATTATACATGGAGATCATAAATCCCCCCTTATGTATTATACATGGAGATTCATATCCCCCTTATGTATTATACAATGGAGATCATATCCCCCCTTATGTATTATATCATGGAGATCATATCCCCCCTTATGTATTATACATGGAGATCATATCCCCCCTTATGTATTATATACATGAAAGATCATATCCCCCCTTATGTATTATACATGGAGATCATATCCCCCCTTATGTATTATACATGGAGATCATATCCCCCCTTATGTATTATACATGGAGATCATATCCCCCTTATGTATTATACATGGAGCTCATATCCCCCCTTATGTATTATACATGGTGATCATATCCCCCCTTATGTATTATACATGGAGATCATATCCCCCCTTATGTATTATACATGGAGATCATATCCCCCCTTATGTATTATACATGGAGATCATATCCCCCCTTATGTATTATACATGGAGATCATATCCCCCCTTATGTATTATACATGGAGAGTTCATATCCCCCTTATGTATTATACATGGAGTTCATATCCCCCTTATGTATTATACATGGAGATCATATCCCCCTTATGTATTATACATGGAGATCATATCCCCCTTATGTATTATACATGGAGATCATATCCCCCCTTATGTATTATACATGGAGATCATATCCCCCTTATGTATTATACATGGAGATCATATCCCCCCCTCATGTATTATACATGGAGATCATATCCCCCCCTTATGTATTATACATGGAGATCATATCCCCCTTATGTATTATACATGGAGTTCATATCCCCCTTATGTATTATACATGGAGTTCATATCCCCCTTATGTATTATATATGGAGATCATATCCCCCCCTTATGTATTATACATACATCCATGGAGATCATATCCCCCCTTATGTATTATACATGGAGATCATATCCCCCCTTATGTATTATACATGGAGATCATATCCCCCCTCATGTATTATACATGGAGATCATATCCCCCCTTATGTATTATACATGGAGATCATATCCCCCCCTTTATGTATTATACATGGAGATCATATCCCCCTTATGTATTATACATGAAGATCATATCCCCCCTTATGTATTATACATGGTGATCATATCCCCCCTTATGTATTATACATGGATCTCCTCTTCTCAGTAGAGAATAAATTCTTTTCTTCGACGGTCCGTGTCGGGGGAGGAGGCCTGGCTCGCAGTCTCCACTTTAATTCATCCCAAAGGTGTTCTATGAAGTTGAGTTCAGGACTCTGTGCAGGCCAGTCAAGTTCCTCCACCCCAAACTCGCTCATAGGTGTAATTCTAGATATCCCTTAATCCAATCACTATCCAAATCTTGTAGACTTCACCCCTGCAACATCTCCAACCTCCCCAACATGTCCAAGATACACCCATTCCTAACCTCGAAAACCATTAAATAACTTATTCCCTCCCTGGTTATCTCTCGCCTTGATTATTGTAACTCCCTCCTCATTGGCCGACCTCATCGCAGGCTATCCCCTCTTCAGTCTATCATGAATGCTGCTGCCAGTCCCATCCACCTTACTAACCGTTCTGTATCTGCCATCCCTCTCTGCCAATCCCTCCACTGGCCTCCACTCAGTGTCCTCCACCCCTGCCAATCTCTGCCAATCCCTCCACTGGCCTCCACTCAGTCAGTGTCCTCCACCCCTCTCTGCCAATCCCTCCACTGGCCTCCACTCAGTGTCCTCCACCCCTCTCTGCCAATCCCTCCACTGGCCTCCACTCAGTGTCCTCCACCCCTCTCTGCCAATCCCTCTACTGACCTCCACTCAGTGTCCTCCACCCCCCTCTCTGCCAATCCCTCCACTGGCCTCCACTCAAGTGTCCTCCACCCCTCTCTGCCAATCCCTCTACTGGCCTCCACTCGGTGTCCTTCATCCCTCTCTGCCAATCCCTCCACTGGCCTCCATTCAGTGTCCTCCATTCCTCTCTGCCAATCCCTCCACTGACCTCCATTCAGTGTCCTCCACCCCTCTGCCAATCCCTCCACTGGCCTCCACTCAGTGTCCTCCACCCCTCTCTGCCAATCCCTCCACTGACCTCCACTCAGTGTCCTCCACCACTCTCTGCCAATCCCTCCACTGGCCTCCATTCAGTTTCCTCTACCCCTCTCTGCCAATCCCTCCACTGGCCCCCACTCAGTGTCCTCCACCCCTCTCTGCCATTCCCTCCACTGGCCCCCACTCTGTGTCCTCCACCCCTCTCTGCCAATCCCTCCACTGGCTTCCACTCAGTGTCCTCCACCCCTGTCTGCCAATCCCTCCACTGGCTTCCCATTGCCCAACGAATAAAATTCAAAACATTAACAACATATGTGGTGGGAGTGTCATGGTCTGGGGCTGCATGGTGGTGAGAGTGTCATGGTCTGGGGCCCCATGGTGGTGGGAGTGTCATGGTCTGGGGCCCCATGGTGGTGAGGGTGCCATGGTCTGGGGCCCCATGGTGGTGAGGGTGCCATGGTCTGGGTCTGCATGAGTGCTGTCGGCACTGGGGGGCTACAGTTCATTGAGGGAACCATGAATGCCAACATGTACTGTGACATACTGAAGCAGAGCGTGATCCCCTCCCTTCAGAGACTGGGCCGCAGGGCAGTTTTCCAACATATCCACCCCAAACACCTCCAAGACCACCACTGCCTTGCTAAAGAAGCTTTTTATTAGAACCGATCACTGTATTGGTGTCACCGGGGATGTCAGTGACACCAAGTCAGTTACCCCCACCCCAGTGTCAGAATGTCCTCCGCAGTCGCTGATCACCGCCATTACTAGTAGGAAAGAAAAAAAAATCCCAGTATCTATACCGCCATTTATAAACGCAATAACTGTCACGTAAACCAATTAATGTATGTGTATTTTATACGTACAAATTAATTTATTGATTAAAATCGGATATTTTAAATGTTTTTACTGGATATGTTTAACTAGCTGCCGACCGCAGATAGCCGAATGACGGCTGCACTGCGGCCGGCCAGTTCTGAGTGGCCCCTACGGACACAGCTGATCACGTGATGTGGTAAAAGGCCAATCACAGCGGCCTTTTACCACGTGATCAGCGGTGTCCAATGACACGCTGATCAGAGGGAAATGCAAGTGCCGGTTCTCGGCTGCACTTTCCTCACGCTGTCAGATCGTGAGGAAAGTACTGCCGAGAACCGGCAGTTGTCAGAGTGGGGATCGGCACCGATCATCAGGGCACTGATGATCAGTGCCCTGATGATCGGTGCCCAGCAGTGCCACCCGCAAGTTCCGCCCAACTGTGCCCAGCAGTGCGCCCACTAGCTCCGCCCACCTGTGCCCAGCAGATCACCCACCTGTGCCCAGCAGTGCACCCACCTGTGCCACTCTGCAGTGTCACACACCTGTGCCCAGAAGTGCCACCTACCTGTGCCCACCAGTGCCACCCACCTGTGCCCACCCACCAGTGCTGTCCACCAGTGCCACCCACCAGTGCAGCGCAGCAGTGCTGCCAGTCAGTGCCACCATTCAGTGCCCAGCGGTTGTGCCAGTCAGTGCCCAGCAGTGATGCCAGTCAGTGCCGTCTATCAGTACCCATCATCAGTGTAACCTATCAGTGTCGCCTATCAGTGCTGTATATTAGTGCCGCCTATCCGTGACACCTCATTAGTGCTGTCTATCAGTGCCCTTTAGTGCTGCCTATCAGTACCCATCATCAGTGTAACCTATCAGTGTCGCCTATCAGTGCTGCATATTAGTGCCGCCTATCCGTGACACCTCATTAGTGCTGTCTATCAGTGCCCTTTAGTGCTGCCTATCAGTGCCGCCTATCAGTGCCCATCAGTGCTGCCTCATCAACGCACATCAGTGAAGGAGAAAAATTACCTGTTTGAAAAATTTTATAATAGAAACAAAGAAACTTTTTTTTTTTTTTTTCAAAGTTTTTGCACTTTTTTTATTTATAGCGCAAAAAGTAAAGCGCCCATTGGCGATTAAATACCACCAAAAGAAAGCTCTATTTGTGAGAAAAAAATGATCAAAAATTCATATGGGTACAATGTTGCATGACCGCGCAATTGTGACAAAGTGTGACAGCGCTGAAAGCTGAAAATTGGCCTGGTAAATAAGGGGGTATAAAGTGCCCGGTAGGCAAGTGGTTAATAGCAAAAAGTCCAAAATATTGTTTTTTTCTGAAAATTGTTGGTCTTTTTTTGCTTACAGTGCAAAAAATGAAAAAAATGCACAGGCAAATACCACCGAAAGAAAGCTCTATTTGTGGGTAAAAAAAGGCATAAATTTCATTTGGGTGCAGCGTTGCATGACCGCGCAATTGTTAAAGTAACCCAGCGCTGTAACGCAAAAAATGGCCTGGTCGGGGGGGAATCCTCTGGAGGGATCCTCTGGATATATATAACTGGGCCCTTTCTCAGCACATACGTGTTTTCAAATGATACGCAAATATGCTGCCGCTCGGTGTCAAGGCCCAGAGAGGTCGCATATTTGTGTACGGTTGGTGTCAAGTGGTTAAAGTTCATGTGTGTGGAAAGGCAGGCGGCCCAATATTTCTGGCAATATAGAGTATATATGTATATTTATATCAATAATAATACAAAATGATATATATATACACAGACCTTTTATTATACACTTCCTGTATCTATACCAGAAATCAAAATGTAAATATATATATATATATATATATATATAAAAAAAAAAAAAAAAAAAAAAATATATATATATATATATATATAAACAATTAACATTTTGATTTGTGGTATATATACAGGAAGTATGTAATAAAATCTCTAAGGACGATAACTTCCGGTTGTTCTGACTGGGTCTATGACTTGGACCTAAGCAATGTGTCTACCGAAAAATGGCGGCCGCCTGCCGGATCCCCGGCTTACATCTAGACTCCGCCCTCTAGTTCCCGCACTTCCCTTTTTGCCAGGCTTACCATTCGATGAAAATGCAAACTGAGTCCCACTCCAAAATGGCGGCCGCAGGTCCGGAGCCCTCAGGGGTACTTTGTCCTCTAGTGACTGTGTGTGTGGGCGGGAGTTCGGGGAATCCTGGGAAGGGGAAGTGAGACAGACGGAGGTCATATTGCAGACGGTGGTTGAGGGGGGAGGATGGTGATTGAGGGAGCTGCGTGCTGCATGAGGAGCCGGGCGGGGGAGGGATGGAGGGTGTAATATACAGGAGAGGGGTGACTGAGGAGACCCACCATCGACCGACTCTGTGTATTCCATCTATAGAAGGGGGTGTACATTACACTGTATACAGGGAGAGATCCGTATTACACGCTATATACAGGGAGAGATCCGCATTACACGCTATATACAGGGAGAGATCCGTATTACACGCTATATACAGGGAGAGATCCGTATTACACGCTATATACAGGGAGAGATCCGCATTACACGCTATATACAGGGAGAGATCCGTACTACACGCTATATACAGGGAGAGATCCGTGTTACACGCTATATACAGGGGGAGATCCGCATTACACGCTATATACAGGGAGAGATCCGCATTATACGCTATATACAGGGAGAGATCCGCATTACACGCTATATACAGGGAGAGATCCGCATTACACGCTATATACAGGGAGAGATCCGCATTACACGCTATATACAGGGAGAGATCCGCATTACACGCTATATACAGGGAGAGATCCGCATTACACGCTATATACAGGGAGAGATCCGCATTGCGTTCTATATACAGGGGGAGATCCGCATTGCGTTCTATATACAGGGGGAGATCCGCATTGCGTTCTATATACAGGGGGAGATCCGCATTACGTCCTATATACAGGGGGAGATCCGCGTTACGTCCTATATACAGGGGGAGATCCGCGTTACGTCCTATATACAGGGGGAGATCCGCGTTACGTCCTATATACAGGGGGAGATCCGCGTTACGTCCTATATACAGGGGGAGATCCGCGTTACGTTCTATATACAGGGGGAGATCCGTGTTACGTCCTATATACAGAGATCCGCAATTACACGCTATATACAGGGGGAGATCCGCATTACGTTCTATATACAGGGGGAGATCCGTGTTACGTCCTATATACAGGGAGAGATCCGTATTATGTCCTATATACAGGGAGAGATCCGTATTATGTCCTATATACAGGGAGAGATCCGCATTACACGCTATATACAGGGGGAGATCCGCATTACGTCCTATATACAGGGGGAGATCCGCATTACGTCCTATATACAGGGGGAGATCCGCATTACGTTCTATATACAGGGGGAGATCCGCGTTACGTCCTATATACAGGGAGAGATCCGTATTATGTCCTATATACAGGGAGAGATCCTATTATGTCCTATATACAGGGAGAGATCCGCATTACACGCTATATACAGGGAGAGATCCGCATTACACGCTATATACAGGGAGAGATCCGCATTACACGCTATATACAGGGAGAGATCCGCATTACGTGCTATATACAGGGGGAGATCCGTATTGCGTCCTATATACAGGGGGAGATCCGTGTTACGTCCTATATACAGAGATCCGCACATCAGACCTCAGCAGTGTAATGTGTGGCAGGTCGCTCTACAGTTTTATAGTACGGGGCGCATTTCAGACCATCCCCCCCCCCCATTTGTTTTTTTTTTTCTTTTTCCCTTCCAATGTATTTCATTCACAATATATTACTTATAGAATTCGATTTTTTTTTCACTTCTAACAGAATTTTTTATTTACGTTCGTCTAATTGTACTTTTTCATTCCCATTATACTAAAAATAAAATGTATTTCATATTCTTGAAATTTTTTCAATTCACATTATACTTCTAATATTGCTTTCCTACACTTGAAACAACTTTTTATTCACGGATATCATTTATTTCAGATTATCTGCTAGTAGAATATATTTCATTCACATTATACTACCAATT